ATACTTATTTCGAACGAAGTTTTCTGGAAATTACGTTATTTCAACAATTTTTTTCTACTATATTTGGATAGAAAATAAAAAAAAACTGATCTGGCTACAAACAAGTAAACCGTATACTTATGTTATTTATATTTTTTATGCTTGAAATATTTTGTAGTTTCGTTGTAAAACGAAGACAAAAACCACTTGATCGTTACTTTTCGGAAAAAGGGTTGTGAATATTGGTGATTTGCCATTATTATATAGATAATATGATACATCCCTTCAAGCCAGATATTAGATTAAGAACTAGACTATTATAATATAAAAATTAAAATTCGTTTTCCTGTTCACACAAACAGTGATCAGATTTATCCGAAATAAGTTGATTTCGCGCACGGGGCCTTAAGTGAAAATCTAAAAGTGAATGTTTGTTTATTATAAAATCTACAATCTAATACATTTATTTATTTACATATGTATGCATTTTCCGTGCTTTGGTGCCGTAATAATATTTATAATTTCATTGAGGAAAAATATGGGCTACGATAGATGGTATTACTTCTTTTGTATGCTATATGTAAATCCCAGAAGCAATGGAGCTAACGTCAAGGTGTGAGCAACATTTGGTACTGCGTTCTTAAAATCCGTAAAGGTCATTATCATAATTATCAATTTTTCATAATCGATACGCTATACGCGGTACTAATCGTTCTGTTCCTTTGATAATGTTCTCTATCACTGCGCTGAGATTTCATATACATTATCTTGTTATTTGCCACTCATGGCATTCCCTTTAGTTGCCACTTCTAATAAAGGGATTAAATATGCGATGAATTCTCTAACTATAGTCGTAAATATTTTTTAATAAAATAAGCGTGACAAACTAACACACAGGCCACCAGATAGTAAGTGTAGCCCACAGACATCTACATTTATCCTCGATCACGAACCAAAATTCAGATTCGTTGCGACCCCTGAGGACTAAGATGGAATGCCTCGTTTCTAATAAAATGGGTCTACGGATCTTTACACTCACCATACGAAATATAGCAGAATTAAGCTGCGTGATCCTTCCCTGATCGTGCTACAACTATATAGCTGCAGCATGGTACAACACACGATATAATGGATCACTAGTAACACATCGCATCACAGTTTATAATAAAACATAAGTAACGTGCCGACATCCCGTTGCTGGGCTACATAATATGTTCGTTCTCCTATTCTAAGAGGAGAAGGATTCTGAGTTCATTCTTAATTCTTAGAGGATTGGTGAGCTATGAAAAGTGTGTGAGCGATTGAATGCGAATGAATGAAATGAAAGCGGGTGAATGAAATTAAAGCGAATGAATGAAATTCATGTTTTTTTAAATATTGTATTTTCAAATTGTTAGACACATGTAAGAAAGACACTTTATCACTCAGCCCGTGGTTTCAGTTTGAAGTCTGTTTGCTCGCGTCCTTGAGTATCCTGTTATCATGCTATCCTGTAATTAAAAAAAGGTTATGGCACAACAGCTATAAATAAAACAAAAGCTTTTGTGTGAATGTATAAAAGGCGCTCATAAAATATTCTTTAGGCATATTAACCGCATTGTTCACGCCCAATTTATTAAATTCTGATAAAACTGATTTGCATTTCTTTTAACCATATCTACCGACCACGAATAGTAGTACACTTTTTAAGTCGGTGAAATGCGAACAGCACGCGATTTTTACTATAATCTAGTATTCTGGAGATTATATTTCTTTTTATTATTTTCAATTAGATAGTACATACGGTGTTCTAAGGAGGGTTCATACTTTAAAACTGCAGCATGAATGGGACCGGCTATACCGGGGTATAGCAATAGCATGTGTTCGAAATTTGAATGCGTTAGTGACGAAAACTTGAGTAAATTTTTTGAAATAGAGTATAAGGGTGAAAAACGAACATACAGTCGAACTGATGGTAAGTGTCAACTAATTTGAGTAATTTGAGTAACAAGTAATTTAAGTATTAAGAGGATTCAAATTCTAATTTCGCCCCCACTTCCCTGCGCGTCGTACGCTATGTACCGACATGTTCGTAATCACTAATACTGTAAGTAGATAGGTCGTTAGATACTTATTTCATTAGGTTTATCATATTTGCCTGTTTCTTAACGCCAACCTAGTCGCTTCTTATTTTTATTACGGTTATTTCCCATTTTAATTTTACGTCGTCCTGTTGCGTAATGTGTATTCTGATCGTAAGCGATACAACTTCCCCCCTTCAAAGGCCGAAGCGAAACTGACCGAGCGGCAGGAATCAAGCTTCAAGAAGCCGATAGTTTAGGTAATTTCTTTTTACAGTGAAAATAATGGTATTTAAAAAAAGTAAATAACATAAGAACTGCTTTATAGTTAGTTCAGTTAGTATGCAAAGTTTCATGATCTTATTTAATGTATTTTATGAATAACAGCGGTTTATTGCTTATTTTGGAGGTAACTTTGGATTTTTTTTTCTTTCGAGAAAAATTTACGGAATCGTGATCTCGTCTAACATAGTCCTTAACATTAATCCTCAACTTTACCATATATTTATTTTAAAATAAATAAATAAATAAATTAATGCTGCAATATTTTCGACATAACGGAGGATCTTGCTAAGCCATTTCCCCTTAATCGGGGAAAAATCATTATTTATCTTCGATTAAGACTCAAATTGAAGATGCGTTGTCACCTCTAAGGTCTAAGATGGAATGCCTCGTTTCCAGTAAAAAGAGCCTCCAGTTCTCTACACTCACCAAACGAAAACAGCAGCATTATTAGCTGTGCTATATTACGCTGGTATTCTGTGAGAGTATGTTCTTTCCCCGGTGGAGTCGACCCATGCGTGCTACAACCATAATATAGTTTCAGCTTGCCTCTACCACGTAAAAGTATTTTTACTGGTAACGAGACAGTTAATTTTTGGGTGGTATTCCATCGATATTTGTGTTTGTAATAAATGTTCGTCCGTAAAATCAACATTGCCGGTACGACAATAAACTAAAATTCAAACCCTAATTTCCCTTTAAGCAATTATTTCTTCGTAAATAATTTTCTGTTTTCGTTAACCGAGTTCTAAAGAACGAAAAGTTTCTAAATTCGATGCATACGCATACGTTTTTTATTTACCTATATATGTTGACCGTTCTCAGAAACGGTCGGACGGAAAATAATTTATTTTTCAGGAATAGTTTCATATTATAAATTTAGAGAAAAACTCCATCAATAAGGTCGGAAAAACAGGGAATATACATTTTAATGTACCAATTTAACGACATTCAAGTTGTAACCTTATTTGTGATATTTCTTAGACCACTCATATTTATACACTACATATTTATATACAAACTTTTAGTAAAAAGTTAAATAATTAATAGAATCAGGCGTTACTTTGTGGTCACATCCGGTCAATTAAATATAATGATGTGTCTTACCTACTTTGAAGAGCACCTCACGTCCTCCCTCAATTGCGCGCACTATCCCCGTCACCACTAATCCCACCACCATCTCACTGGGAAAGATACGCCACCGACGATAGTGCGACACGTGTTCCTGAGAATCTACTACAGAGTCTATTTCACCTGAGGATGAAGATAAGACAGGTGAAATAGACCCTACGGTGGCTGACTTACTAACTTACTTCAGTCAGCCATCGCAGAGTCCATCTTTAAAGAGTTAAATCGTAATTCTTCGATACACTATTTCTTAGCACCGACTTCAGAAGGCAATTATAATAATATGTGGAAATTATTTTTATTACATAACACATATAACAAAAAAGCCAACGAAAGGATTACAAAATGGCGGATTTTGTCTTTGGGCTTTCTCTTCCAGTCAACCCTGGGCGTACTTAGATAATGTGAAAGATGGCATAATTATACTGGATGACCTTTTTTACCGTCTGGAAAAAAATAGGATGTAACATGTGAACGGAGTAGAAGCCTATGGCAGTGATATTTTATAAAAAATAAAAACAAAAATTTTAAATTAAACGTTTGAAAAAAAAACTTCTACAATTACTTTGCCCTTTGCTCTTGTACCTGTGACTCCGCGAAGTGACAAGGTCGAAGATGCCTACTAAAAGTATTGTTTTATTGCCGTCCGTAAAGTAGAATGGATATGATTTGAATTTCGATAGATTTTAATTACTTAATTTATTTATTTAAGTGAAAATTTTTATTTTTATTTTTTTGTAAAATATCAGTGTTATAGGCTTGTACTCCGTTCACATGTTACACCCTATTTTTTTTTAGACGGTAAAAAAAGTCATCCAGTATACTCAGCGACAAAAATACGTAAGAGGATGGTACGCACTACTACTTTACGGTATAAAAATGTAATCAGATTTTATGCGAGGAACAGAATTGGGTGAACTTTAGTAAACAAGACTATGATGAAACAAATGCAGGAGCCCAGCCACGGCCGACCGAAATATTTCGTCGATCCGGGTTCACCGTACGGGAAACTGGACCACCGATATTGGAGCGGAACTTACACGTCGTGACTGATATAGACTACCGGCACTTTTCTTATAAAAAATTCTTACCTCAACAGCTTGTGACCGGTCGTTTATTAAAGTTGTTATAAGTCATCGCATGAATTAATACGATACAAGTACGGTATCGTACTTACGGTACGGTTTCCAACCAGGACGCGGTACCATTGACCCTATATTCGCCCTAAGGATCCTCATGGAGAAGCATAGGGAAAAGAATATGCCTCTGCATTTTTTATACCTAGACCTGCAGAAGACCTTTGACTGTGTTCCTAGGGAGATGATCTGGTGGGCGTTGCGGTCGAAATTGGTACCAGAGACCTACGTGGAAATCGTACGTGACATGTACCGCAACTCCGATTCAATAGTCAGGACCGCTGTTGATGATACCACCCCCTTCCCCATAACCGTAGGCGTGCATCAGGGCTCCGTCTTAAGCCCCTATCTCTTCAGTTTGATATTAGACGAACTGTCAGCCAGTGTACAGAAACTACCGCAGCCTTGGCTGCTTATGTACGCTGATGATATCGCACTGGTAGATGGGGACAAAGGACAGCTCATCAGACGCGTGCACGCATGGAGGGAGGCGCTTGAGAACGGCGGGCTGAAGCTAAATGTGGCGAAGACGGAGTATATGACCCGTAACAGCACAGATCTGACGTCTCTCCGTATAGGCGACGACACCGTCGAGCGCACGGACAACTTCAGGTACCTCGGATCTGTGCTTGATGCGTCAGGAGACATCGATCGCGACATCAAGGCCCGTATATCAGCGGCCTGGGCGAAATGGTGCGAGGTGACGGGTGTCATTTGTGACCCCAAAATGCCGGTCAAGCTGAAGGGACAGGTCTATAAGACCATCATAAGGCCTGTCCTTACGTACGGCAGTGAAGCGTGGCCGGTGCTAGAGCGACACCGGCAGTTGTTGCATGTCACGGAGATGAACGTGCTGCGGTGGATGTGTGCTTGAAAGACCATGTACGGAATAGATACATCCGCGGCGGCATCCATGTCCGTGACATTGCTGACAAGCTCCAGTAAAGTCGTCACCGCTGGTACGGCCACGTCTTACGACGACCGGCAAGCTACGTGGGAAACAAATGCCTGGACATGACCCTACCTGGTACCAGGAGTAGAGGACGGCCCAAGAAACGCTGGCTTGATGTCGTGCAGGATGACATGCGCGCCAATGGGCTAGTTGCGAGGGACGCCGAAGACCGGGCAAAGTGGAGGAGGAAGTGTAGGAAAGCGGACCCTGGGTTCTCCCGCGCTGGGCGGAATGAGCAACCGGGATTTTTTTTTTTTTTTTTTTTTTATGGAAGAGGGGGCAAACGAGCATGTGGCTCACCTGATGTTAAGTGACTACCGCCGCCCATGATCAACCGCAACACCAGGGGGAATTGCAGGTGCGTTGCCGGCCCTTTAGAAAGGAGTAAGCTCTTTTCTTGAAGGTCCCCAGGTCGTATCGGTCCGGAAAAATCACCGGTGGTAAATTATTCCACAGAGAGGTTGTACGCGGAAGAAAACTCCTTTTGAAACGTACAGTGGTGGACCGCCAAGCATCCAGATGGTGTGGATGGTATCGGGACGTTTGCCGTGTAGTGCGTTCACGAAATTTGGCGGCTGGGATTAATCCGAACAATTCCTCAGAGCACTCCCCCGTGATAGATGCGATAAAATACGCAAAGAGATGCAACATCTCTTCGCAGCGCCAGTGAATCGAGCCGATCGGAAAGCACTCGGTCGTCGACGATTCGAGCCGCTCTGCGCTGGATGCGGTCAAGTGGAAGGAGCTGGTACTGGGGAGCCCCAGCCCAGAGATGGGAACAGTATTCCATGAGCGGCCGAACCTGCGCCTTGTAAAGTTGCAGGCGGTGTGCCGGCATGAAATACTGTCCCGCTCTGCTGAGCACGCCAAGCTTTTTAGAGGCCAATTTGGCCTTCCCTTCCAAGTGACCACGAAACTGCACGTCACTCGATATGTCGACGCCGAGGATTCCGATACTGGCTGAGGCAACAAGGGGAGTGCCTTGAAACTGAGGGGATACGACAAAGGGGTTTTTTTTAGCGGTTAACGCGCAAACTTGTGTCTTCTGGGGGTTAAACTGGACTAGATTTAGTCGCCCCCAATCCGAGACTCTGTCCAGCAGAGACTCGACTTCAGACACAAGTTTGTCCCGGCACTCAGAGACGTTTTCCCGAGAAATATTTGCTCGGCCGGTGTAAAGAGCATCACCAGTGCTGTCATCTGCATAGCAATGAATGCTACGGGTTTGCAACATATCATTGATATGCAGAAGAAACAGCGTTGGCGATAGCACGCAGCCCTGTGGAACACCAGCATTAATAAGCTTGCAATCGGAGCTTGCACCGTCTACAACGACCTTGATGCTCCGATCTGCAAGAAAACTGGTGATCCAGTCGCACAATTTCTCGGGAAGCCCATAGGAAGGGAGCTTCGAAAGAAGCGCTTTGTGCCAAACCCGATCGAAGGCCTTCGCAATGTCCAAACTAACGGCCAATGCCTCCCCCTTGGACTCTACTGCCTCCGCCCATCTGTGAGTTAGGTAGACCAGAAGATCACCAGCTGACCTACCACCGCGAAAACCGTATTGGCGGTCACTAATCAGCTGGTGATCCTCAAGGTACCTCATGAGCTGGCAGTTTACAATGGACTCCATTGTTTTGGAGAACAAGGAGGTGATGGCGATAGGCCGGTAGTTGGACGGGTCTGAGCGGTCGCCTTTTTTAGGGATCGGGTGGACGAAAGCCGTCTTCCATGATTTTGGGACTACGCCTAGGGAGTAGGAGTACCGGAAAAGACGCGTTAAAACCGGTGCCAACTCTGGAGCACACGTCCTCAGCACAATTGGGGGGATTCCATCAGGCCCACTCGACTTATGGATGTCCAGGGAGAGGAGTGCTTTGCGAACCGAGCGCTGAGTGAAGTGCACTTCCGGCATGGAGCACTCACACCGCGGGATGGTCGGCGGCGTACTCCCCCCGTCATCGAGAGTCGAGTTAGACGCAAAGAAAGAGCCTAGAAAATCGGCTTTCTCCTTTGCGGTGTGGGCCAGTGAGTCGTCCTCCCTGTGCAGAGATGGAAGAGATGGCTGACAGAAATTCCCCTGGACAGCCTTGGCGAGAGACCAGAATGCACGGGTTCCAGAAGGAAGACGAACTAGTCTCTCGCCAATTCTGCCTATGTGCTCTGACTTTGCCTTGGCAATGACTCTTTTGAAGGACCTAGAGGCGGAATTATACTTCTTTTTTAGAGCGCTGGTGTTTACATCCCTGGACGCTGATGCATCAGCCCAGGCTTGGTAGCACTCCTGCTTATAGCATGATGCTATTTTACAGGAGCGACCAAACCATGGCTGAGATTTGCCTCCAATGGGCACCACAGAGGAAGGAATAAAAAGTTCCATACCCTGAAGTACCACATCAGCGACAGAATCCGCAACAACGTTGGGATCATCCGGCGAGAAGCAAACCCGCCCCCAAGGGTAGGATGCAAAGAAAGACCGCATCCCATCCCAATCGGCTGACCTATAGTGCCAAACACGGCGGCAGCCTGCAGAATGCAACCGCGATTTCTGCGTGAGTGGCACCACACTCCGGACAAGACAATGGTCCGAGGAGCCTAAAGGGGCGTCGACGGAAATCTGATATCCGTCCGGGTGAGAGGTCAGCAGAAGGTCCAACAGGGAAGGTGCATGATCCTCCACATCTGGAATCCGCGTAGGCGAAGTAACCAGTTGTGTCAGACCATATGCCAAGGCAAAATCATGAACAGATCTCCCCGCATGATCGGTTAAACGTGAACCGAGCCATTCGGCGTGATGGGCGTTGAAGTCGCCGAGGATCACGATCTCTGCGGAGGGGATCTGCTGTAGCAACGAATCTGCAGCCATTTGGACGTGGTCGAAGAGTCGGTCTGTTTCGGCATTACCGCTATGGGACCTATAGAGGCACCCGTAGACGCGCGGATGGTCGTCGCTGTCTACGCGTAGCCAAAGGATGGACAGGTCCGAACCTTCAAGTCTGCCGAGGCGTCGAGAACAGATGTCCTCTCTGACGTAAACGCAAACTCCAGCCCGAGGCACAAAGGAGTGTTCCAGTTTGTACCCCGGGCAGGAGAGATACGAGACATCAGCCGGAGAGGACACCTGCGTCTCGGTCAGAAAGAGCAGAGCCGGCCTCGCCGTCTCGAGATGGTAGTGGACGGCGTTTAGGTTAGAGTGAAGTCCCCTGATATTGCAGAAATTCACGGACAGCGTGGCAGGGGTCGCCTTGGTCTTGTTGCTCCGTTTGCCCCGAGCAGTTTTAGTCTTGAGCGGAATATTGCCCCCCCCCAGAATACGCGGGGCAGCCTGAGCACCCACGCTCAGAAGTGGAGAAACATGGTCGTGGATGCTCAGCGAGGGATTCTCCAGGGGTGCTGGTACCCTCCTGGGGTAGTCTATCATTTAATTCCGCTACCATGTTGATGGGGGGATTTGGGCCTCCGGCCACCTGCACTCACCAGACGAAACGCGGAAGCAGAGCTTCCACTTCACGCCGGTATTCTGTGAGGTCGTGGTACCACCCCGGTTTGAGCCGGCCCATACGTGCGACAGCAAAGCTGCCGCGTGGCTCTACCACTGTTAAAATAAACGCTAGGTAGAAGAAGAAGAAGAAGAGATGAATTAATATCAATTTTTGAGACCATAATAAGTTTTAAAATGTAATATAAAAATAATGTAAAATCATTTTACTTGAGTTTTAATAAAATAAAATTGTTGCGGCTATAAGTTAAATTGACTAGATATCATTGGAATTTCAATTAAACGAGATGTTAATTACACTTTGCTACTAACACAGTTAAAGTTTTACCACACTAGTAACCAATTAATTTTTACTGTCCGATGAATCGTTTCAGTTTTTCCTATTAACGGCGCGGTTTTTTCAGTTTTTGTTATAAATGAAGTGTGAAACCAACAATCGATAAAACTTGTTAGTATTAATTTATGTGCCGATCTGCGATGAATGACTGTGTTTTGATCCGCGATGATTGGACGTCCTGGTAGACGCTTTTCATGAGTAATGCCGTAAGAGAATATATCTACGTTTTAAGCACATTTTTACAGTTATTTGACGATAAAACCGATTTTTTATTAATTACTTTCTTATAACCCATTAATCTAATTCAATAAAGATTTTGGTATTATTAGTCATATTGGATGTTGGTAATCGCATTGTTGTTTACCTACTTTCGTTCATAAACCTCATTGCTTCAAGAATCATTTTATTATACTTTAATATAAACAGTTAAGTCGTTAAATGGAATTCACAATAGTAATGTCTTCAGAACATCGGATACAATTGAATAAAGCATCGCGCGAATTGGATAATTTATCACTTCTATTAGAGCACAATTATTATTTACCTGCCTGCGAGAATAATTTTTGTCAGTTATTTTATTTATTTACTTATGTAGAACCATTAGCAGAAAATATTCACATAATTATAATGCAAATTATAATGTCATCATCGACATGATCATAACAGCCTTTTACATGTCTACAGCTCAACATAGGCTTCCCTTAAATTCACTCCTGTATTCATAAACATCAGGTCGTTATTCCATAAAGGGCGAAGTAAAATATATTCCTAATGAAATACGGACACAATATTTACAATTTAAAGAGACATTATTTCAAATATCGCAAACCTGTCATTTTTTCTATGACCTTCAACATACAAAAACATCGTCAAATACGCTTCCTTGTATGTAATGGAATTTTAGTTTCTCTTTAGCCAATTGTAGTGAACCAACAGTTTTGTCAAAAGTTGTTAAATTATAATTTGAAATTAGATGTATGCATGGCGTACTGCGCCGCCAGACGTCCTACGACGTGACCAATCTCGATCTATGTTCATTTAAGGGGAAATATAACCTCAAATGGCTTAGGAAGATCCTCCGTTATG